CATGCGAGAACTTGTTGATACAATTCGGAGAGCCATGTGGCTGAGAGATAAACTAACACGCCAGATCCATGCACCTCTTCCACAAATCGTTCCTTAAAAATAAAATTAAGGAAAATAAATGCAATGAATTCGGAAAGCATTAAAATATTCGCGATTAAGCATACCTCGCTGATTGGCACTTGCCGACCTTCCTCATGATAATAATTTATTTGGATTAATTTCAGATTGAGAAGCAATGCCGCATACGTCGCCAAATAAATTCCGTCAGCATTCATGATCGTGATTAACGCACATGAATCCATACTAGCGTCAGTTTGTTCCTGTATCTTCTGTTGAGTTACAAATACTCCTAAAATATGTCAAATATGTAAATTTCAAAAAAATATATCATTATTTTAATATTAATGTAATTTTTGCGCATTATTTTATAAGTTTTATCGATAGCTATACCTTGACAATATTCAGAAGCAAAATTCTGTAATGCCTCATCCACCTCTATATTACTTCGCAAAGTGAGGACCATCGGTATGAGATCGGATCTAAGCGTTCTTACGAATCGCCTGGCGTTGTGTCTCTCTACATCCACATTGCATTCGTCGGCCACTTGTCGGCCCACATGAAGACACTTGGGTAATTTTTTCAATCTCAGTTTCTCGTATTCATTCTCCGTAGTGCAATCGTTATCATCAAGACTATTTTCTTCCTGAATCTCATCCGATTCATTTTGAGGACCTTCAGTATCCGTTGAATCACCATCTTCTGATGGTCCATGCCCAGATGAGTCGGAATCCGAGCCCATACCTTTCTTCATTAATTCCAATTGTTCCCTGAGAAATAAATTATCATAATGTATTGTAATGCATACATATCGTTCCCTTACTTCAAAAGTGATACAATCCAAAAATTAAATTTCTTAAAAAAGAGAAAAAACTATTTTTCAACTTGACAGGAAATTATTGACTCTAATCGTAAAGAATAAATCGAATCCTTAAATCAATTTATATTATTAAAATTATATTTTGTATTATATCACATATTTCCACAATATTCTGTACTGTACAATATACTATTATTATCTAATATAAAAAATAAAAATTTTAAATAATTAACGGAATCAAATAGTCGAATCATCGAAATTTTAATATTAATTACCTATTTCTCATTACTTTTTTCAAATAATTGAACATAATTATTTTACTAAATGATTCATGATCATTGTGTTCACCTGTATGTTTTTGGTAATCGTGCCATACTTTGGTAAGTCAGAGGTCCACGATAATCACAGGATTCTAAATCTTCATACAAACTATTAATTGTGCACGTATAATTATGATTAATGGCCTTGCCCTCGCAAAGTTCTTGAAGTGCTGACAACATAGCGACAACGCAAGAAACACTCGCGTGCAATATAGACAATCCACCCGTTGTTGACTCTTCTATCGAATCCATAGCCCTAAAATACAATGTAGAAAAATTTAAAAAAAGATTCTATTATGTAAATTGAACAAAATTTTATTTAAGCTTTATTTATTGTACATCAAAGATTGTTGCGAGAAATACTCACAGTCTCATCAGTGCCATGTCACTTTGTATATGGCTCGATCGATCTTCTTCTACAAGTAATGGTCCAGCAAAATCAACCATTCGGCTGGGACTACGTAATAATTCCTTCAACGCTTTTAAAGGTTCTAGACGCTGCTGCGGTGGTGGATACAGCAACATCCTATGGAATACCGATTCCAAAACTGGTCGCAACGGACCAACGCATCCGACTAATCTTACTAATTCCGTGCCAATGCTAAAGATGATATTTTTTTATACAATATCACGTAAATTATAAAATATTAAATATTCTACATAAAAAAAGTATCAAAGAAATGGCTGCATTTAACAAAAAAGCAGCTTTGCAATTATAATTGTAAGATTCCTTAATATGGTTGATTTACATACATATTTAGATTCAGTAAATAATTAAAGGTAAGATATATTATATTTTTGAATATATTAAAGAATTTTACAAAGCTGCTTTTTTTGCTTAACACAATTAACGTTTACAATATCAACATGTGATGATGTATTCTGAATTTTCTTTTACTGTTTACCTGTAAACAGTTTTAGCCTGATGACTATCAAAACTCAGTGATGTGGCCAAGTATCCGGAACCTCTGCCAACTTCGTTCTCCTTTCCCTCTCGGGAGGTAAAAGTCTTATCTACCCGGGGAGTGCCTAGAAAGGCTATCAAGGCCGGACAGAACTTCTGCCATAGGAAAGTCGTAAAATGTGTGTTAGTATGAATCTTTTGCGGTAATGATGATATCAGTGTGTGCAAGCATTCCAATAAAAAGACTACAGTACTGCCGTTTCTGCCATTGCTGGAACAGGATTTCCTAAATATTATTATAGTATTAAACATAACGACTTTTACTTCACTAATTTTCTAAGATGCATTATTATATACTTTTGAGCCTCGTCCAGTTTACTGCAAATATACTGTAAAATCGGCAAGGCCTCGTTGAAACACGAAACGCCTCGCTCGCGCACATTTTTATTCCGCTTAGCATTCTCGTCCATCTCTTGGCATTCCTCATCTGCAAATAAATATAATAACGCATAATAGTGAATATTGAAATTCTGACACGCTAGCAATGCAATCGCAAGTATATAAACAGTAATAGTCAGTCATTAGGATGTTTCGCCGATGGCATTCTTCGACCCGCATGCCACTGGCACGCGATCTTGTAATTTATCGACCAAACATCTATGTTTGGAAATGCTATGTCTGGAAGCTATTGTCACTAGAAGTGCTATGTCTGGAAGGTATCATCACTGTCTCTCTAAGGCGAAATGCATCAGCGACGTTGCGTTAGTTTCTTTTTTTTCGCTCAAATTTTCATATTACCTAAAAAAAGGCAGAATGATCGCAATGTTTGACTGGTTGCAGCCTGTGCAGCTGTACGCACAGCTTGATTGCCATTCTCGAACGCCTCACAACAAGTAGTCAGTATAGCAATGATCAAACGACCATTCATAGTCCAATAAGGAGAGCAAGCAACTTGCAGCAAGACCTTGGAAGAGAAATTATCGATGAGATATTACCAGCAATTAAATTCATAATTTTAAAGTAATAAAATAAGATGTTACATTTAAAATTTCGATTAACTTTCTTATTTTGTTTTTGCGTTTTAATATTCGATCTAAAACTTTTATAATCACTGTGAAACACTCACTTTAAGCATATCCGTTTGTGTGTCATCGGATTGCGAGACGATGGAGCTCATGGCGTGCAACATTTGTGCAGGCAACCATAACGAATCATCTTCTGGTTCATAAGGTGATTGGAATCTGTCGTCTCTTAACATTTTCTATAAATTTTATTAATTTAATACGACGTTAATTTAATCATGATATTTATAACGCAGTTAATAATTAATAATAAAAATGTAATTAATTTAAAAATGTATAAAAATGTAATTATTTTATTTTATTGTATATAAACAAGATTTACATAAATATTAGAAATAAGAATATGCAAATTATATATTAAATTACGAATAAGAATCTATGTAATTAATTGCAATAATTATGATCTATCTAAGTATTTAAATCTTTATTACAGAATTCCTATAAAAGCTGTAAAAAAAACTTTTCGTATTCTTTCGTATTGAAGCTAATTAAAAGTCATCTGCCATAGTGACGTTACTTAAACTGTCGCAGCTGTTCGGTATCTATCGTTTTATCGCGTACAGTTCCGGGACATACGTCCATAAGCGGTTACATTAATGCCAACATACACGGAAAGAAAAATAATCCAGAAATAAAATTCAGACACATGAAATGTGTCTTTTCTGTAAATATTTTAATCCACATTCGCATTTTTAACGTACATAGAAAATTTATTATTAATTTTTTTCGCGTGAAAAATATTCTTTTACAAAAGATTATTTTTGTTATATTACTTACATGTAATCCCGCAAGTCCGAAAGCAACGAACTTGCTTCTGTTACTTTCCAGTGCTAACTGAAACGTATGTAAGCATTTCGCGCGCAGTTCGTGGGGTGGATCTCGTAGCAAGCCTTGTTGTTTTTCCAGAAAATCTATAGAAGAAAAAATTATTCTCAATACAAAAAGAACAAGTCCAAGTAAATTAAAAAAAATATTTGTGTTTGATGACCAACATCACATCAATCATACTGCGTCATTATGGCACCTTTTCAAACAAATTGACGTAAATTAAAAAAATATTTTTTTAATATAGTAAATATTTATAATTTTTTTAACTTTGCATAAAGATATTTAAATATAATCAAATTAAATGAAAAATATTTATATTTAGACAATGTTTAATGCGAGGAATGCGGGTGTCAAGCAGATGTCAAATCTGTTTGACGTTTCTGGAGTGAAGAAGCCTCGAATAAAAGCGACTCTTGCACAAAAAAATATTCAATAAAAAATTAAATAAAAATAGGAAACGTGATGTGCTTACCATGCGCTTCTTGTGCTGATTTCCGTAAATTTTGTAATCTTGCATTGTTCGACTCCCTTATGATCTGCAGCAGGAGATCCTCCATGACACGACGGGTTCCAACCGCTACCACGCGTCTGATCGATAACAGGAGGGAGTGCCGATGCACGCCATGCTTCACTATACATGCGCACTTTCAGGAACGTAAAAAATATTACTTTCAAAAATACTGATACACATTAGAAACAATTAAACAAAAGCAATGAAATTTTAATTATAAGTCTAAGTGCGCATTTATATAAATAAAGCAGAAAGTCAAAAATGGAATGACGATTAATCTTACGATTAGTCTCAAAATAGATTTCATTCATAAAATCAAGCATTTATAAATAAATAATTTTGTATAAATTGAGACAATATTAAATAATTTGTGTAGGAAATTTTTTTTATAAATTCCTATGTTATAGTAAAAAAAACAGAATAGCTACTTTAAAGGATTTAAAATTTAGCGCCATTCTTCGTGAGCACGATAGCAGTCATGTGACCCATAATATCGAAGATGGCAACGAAAAGTGACAGGAAACGTAAAGTGGCCGAGAAACCGGCACACGAGAGCACAGCTTTTTATCAGTGGACTATAAATCTTTTGGGTAATAATATTCGCTTTCCCGCATGAAAGAATCGAGCTTCCAACGTATCTATCGATCGAGAGACTGTTTCAAAGTTTAAAATAATTTTTGTTCTAACGGCAGGTCTTGGTATTGGTTGTTTCCATCGGTGGCATGTATCCACGCTGTTCGAAAATGATCGACACTTCTCTCATCTTTCGGAAATCGAACGAGAAATGTCTTTCAGAACTGAGATGGTAAGATAATTGGTGATAATATTTTATCATCATACATGACATTAGATAAATCAATTATATAGAAATTTATATCGATCAAACGGAGCGTCTTTGTCTATCTTCAAATAGCATGTTTTGTTGAATGCAATACCGTATCAAAAGTATGTTAGCAATGTAGGCAATGTATGCTATGTAGGCAACACCGAAAATTTTCACAAACACATAACAAAGCAATACATTGTTGCGAATTTATTATTCCTTGAGAAATGTTTGTCAATCAATTTTATATCTTTATCCCTTTACAAAAAAATATCACATTGGAGCTATTATTCTAAAAGTACTTCAAATAATTTATTCGAAAATCAACTACTGTACTTCAGTATTAAATAATAATCTACATGCTTTGCTTTGCTTGGAGAAAAAAAAATAGTGCCAGGTCAGAATTGTAGTTGTATAGAGGTTCGTCGTTGTATAAATGGTTCGTCAATTTCGCATGAAATGGCCAAAAATTCCTTCGTCAAAACTACAATATAGAAGGATGGTTTAGAAAAAGATTCATGTCCACATTTTTCGAATACTATCAACAAATGGTGTTCAGTACTATTTTATATGATATATTGACTATTTTATATGATATATTGACTTCAACAGAATACTAGTGAGATAAGCAACGAAAAAGTAAGACTATTTCCTTCAGTGCAGCATACTTATTCGACATTCATGGATATTTATATTCAAAAATATTTTATTCCTAAAAAAATTTTGCATATTGTTTATACATTTTATAAAATTTAACATTATTAAAAGATTTTAACAAATAAATAGAAATTGGCAGTATTTAACTTCAATTTACTTTCTTTTAGAATATCTTTAAAACACAAAACGAATAGAATTTTTATTATACTTATATATGACAAATAAATTTAGCAGAGTTTATATTCTAAGTATAAATCTTTATATCTATAAATAAAATATTAACATAATTAATATTTTTAATAACTGCTAAATTTATCAAGCATTTGTTGTTTATCATTAGTACAATATCTTGCACCAAATATAATAATATAATATACCAAATTATTTGCGTTTAATTGCAAGATATTAGTAAATACTGGTATAATATAAATTTAAAGATAATATATTGATAAAATATACTTCACGCAAATAATTGTATTGAACAAGCTGCATTAAACATTATAATTTCTATCTACAAATGTTTTCTTTTTAGGGGATGTATTACTCCTATTATAAGACCATCGCTGAGTCCAAAACTTTTTTCGACGGGATGAACAAGCTCAGTCGCGACAATTTATCAGAGTACAATAATGTCATTGATGCCACTAGAAAATATAGTCTTTTACCTGAGGTAATTATTCTCGATAAAACTTCTTCTCAGTTTTTCATTTTTGAATATAATAATCGATTTTACACTATATTATCCATTGTGCAGATTATAGCAGGTTTCCTCTATCATATTACAAAGAATCTTGGTCTCATATCTTACAATAAGGCACAATGCTGGCAGGTAAGACTTGTAAAATTTCTTTGTGAAACATATTCATTTTATAAAATACTTATCAAATTGATAATTTTCAGATAGAAAGAGGAGATGGTCTGCCACCTATAACTAGCTGTGAAGGTCTGGGTATACCTGTATACTTCTATTTAGAAATAGTCTGGTTTACTACAGTAGTCACTGCAGCAGTACTTTTTTACTATGCAACGTACTTGAGTAATTCCATTTGCGGTGGATTTATAACGATTTTATTATTCTTTTTTAACCATAACGAATGCACTCGCGTTCAATGGACCCCGCCATTACGAGAAACTTTCGCGTATCCTATGTTACTTTTTCAAATGTATAGTGTTACTATGGCTATCAGAAAATATACAAAACACGATGCAGATAAGGTACCAACCTCGTTAAGGAACAGAACCAGACAAGGATTATTCATGGTGAGATATAAAACAAAAAAATTATTTATTAGGTATACAGGGTGTTAGATTTAATCTTTTACGTAAATATCTCAAAAATGATTAAAAGTTAGACAAAAAATTATAAAGTCTCTATAATGAGAATTACTTTAAGATGAATTTAATATGATCATACTTAAGTCTATACAATTTTAAAGGAAGAAAGATAGTCGAATTTTTCAGTGATCCGATTTTATCACATTAAGAATCTATTAGAGCATCTTTTTAATTTTTCATCTTTGATATTTTTCTGAAACATCAGCGTTGATTTTAAGATTGAATAGAAATCCATATTTTCCCAAAATTTTCAAAAATTTGTTTTAATCATAATATTAAAGAGTTCATTTTTAACCAAAAATGAACTTTTAATATCATAAGTTAATATCATAATATCATAAGTACTGGATTCGTCTTTTTAGGAATTATCATATTATACTATTTTTGTTATACTATTTTTGTTACACTATTTTTGTGGGTGGTTTTCATTTGAGAAATTCGACTATATCTTAAATTAATTTTACAGAAGATTCTATTCACATTAAAACAAGTTAAATAATAAGAACAAATTAAATCAAACACTCTGTACACAAAAATTATTTTTGTAATGTAATAACTGTATTTTACTTTTTCAGGATATATTTGGCTCGACAATTTGTAGCTTGTGCACATGGCAATTTTCTCATTTCGTTTTCACTACGCAAATTATAGCCATTCTTATACTAAAATGGTTGAAGATCGTTCCGTACGAATTCTACAAAAATTTTTGTATGGCGCATGCTTTAGCAATCGTAGCGTCAACTAAAATAACAAACGGAGCTCTTATAATTTGTTCACTCTACACGTGTATTCTAATCAGCAGTAATGCGGCCAATTTTATAATGAAATTGTCCCGATTTCAGAACATCAAACGAGAAATTATTTTTGAAATTGCTATAACAATAACGCTTACAAAGTCGATAAAATCCTACATTCTATATTCCCAAGATGACACCCACGTGTTTAATATATTAAAGTCTAAATTAACGAATTATAGAGATTTCCACACTATGCTTTACACGTGTTCCGCAGAATTCGATTTTCTGCAATATAAGACTTACGATGCGATTATTAAGACTTTATTACTGCCGATAGCGATACTCGTTGGAATGCTTATATTGTATTACTGGTATAGAAATTTTAAGACGAGCAATTATCCATTTTGCATTGAGGCTGATGTGGCATATAATGGCCTACAGACTGGCGCCTTTATAATCATGGCCATTTTTATTATGAGATTAAAGCTATTTATGACACCACATCTTTGCATAATAGCTGGTGCTGTGTGTAGCAAACGATATCTTGAAAAAATCGGCTTGAAAGGTGAACTCATGCGACTTGCTATTGTTGTGCTTTTATTGGGTGGCATGTCGTACCACGGTGTCGACAGATTTCAAGAGGAACGCGGATTTATAGGTAATTATAATATTTAGATCGATTTACTACTTTTTACAGCATTTCAATTATACGTATTTTTACACACAGGTGAATACAGTAATATCGAACAAGAAGAATTATTTGAATGGATAAAAAGTAATACACCGGAACATGCTGTATTTGCAGGGAAAATGTCGTTGATGGCGAATTTGATGCTCTCCACTAAGAGACCAATCGTTAACAATCCTTACTATGAGAGTAAAGAAATGAGGTATGATCTCTCTAAGAATTAATTCTAATCGGTATTCGTCGATTTACTGACCTCATTTTCTTCAATATTTACGTTGTAAAAAATTTTTTTATGTCAAATGTTTTTCATAATCTTACATAATTTTAAGTTACAGTCTCTTATTCTTCAGATCTTTAAAATAAAAAAATAGTTTAATTACGTTAATTTGAAATAAAGATACATTAATTTAATAACGAATTCATTGCATTACATTAGATATTTAAAGCTATTATACATAAAATTAATAAAATTAAATATAAAGGCATATAAATATTTTACAAGATTAAATACCCAACAATAATAGTCATATATTTAACAAATATGTATTATTTCATTATCTAAACTGATTATATTATGCCATTTAGATATTTTAGATATTTTATATAAAACAGTTTCTTTAAAAGTATACTAATTTAGTATATGGGATGTCTCATAATAATTAATTAATATAAATTGGCAAAGGAACTTTTAATTCAAAATTTTTTTCTTCGTTCACTCCCTGAAATATTAATTAATCGTTATGGGACACCCTGTATAGTGTGAGTGATTGAATTTATCATAAAATACATTGGATCTGCAAATTAATATTAAAAAAATGCCAACATTTTTTAACTCACTAAAAGAACTAAATGAATAAATTACTACAAAAATAGAGAAAGTTAAAGAAATATTTTATGTAAAGGAATTATTGAAAAATTAAGAAATTTTAGAATTCTATTTTTAACACAAAAAATATAATATATATAAAAAGAAATCGGTCAATAACGATTGATTGAACTTTTAGTGTTGAGAAAATTTCGAAGCGAATTCCGATTGATGTTACTATATAATAGAATCATATGGATTTATATAATATATACATAAATATTTTATGATATTATAGAGACAGAACTATGAAAGTTTATGAGATTTTTAGTCGAAAAGATGCTGCCTCTGTTTACACCTCTTTAAGAAGCATGAAAGTTAGTTACGTCGTATTAGAGGAACCATTGTGCCTTGGATTCGCAAACGTGTAAGTATGAAAGAAGCGTAAGTACGTCGACAATTGCGTAACATCAAATTTTATTTCTTCAGGCCGCGAGGATGTCAAATGATCGATTTATGGGACGTGACTGATAATGGAGCGGCGAAAATGGCGAACAAATCGCCTCTGTGTCCTCTTTTATTCAAAGGAAACGCACATCCATTCAGAAGAGCGTTCGTTAACAATAATTTCGTCGTATTGCAATTGGATTATTCGCATTACGTAGAATTTAAACCAAAGACTTCTATGCCATTGCATTATCAGTTTTAGAGTTTTAGAGTTTTACGTTTAAAAAAAATAAGTTAAAATTTCCAGAAGATTGGAATACCTTGTGAGATTATAAAGCCTATTTTTCTTAACAGAAGTATTATCTTTATGGAAAATATGTATATATATTTTTATAATATAAAGATTCACGCGAGTAAGTTAAATATTAGGTAACATTGTCAATCTGTAAAAGTTTATTAAGTATAGTTTTACATGCAAATAAATTTGTGAAGAGGCATTAAAATTTTAAGAGACACATAATATTATAAAGTCGGATTTATCTTCTATTTAATAACAAAATCCAATTTTGTTTTCACAGAGATCTTTTAAAATATTACTTATTATTTCTTTCTTTAAAGATGACAAAATACGTGGTTATCGAGTTATTACCAAAAATTAAGTAAACATTATTTTATCATTACCAAAAGAACTAAATTAACTTCACGAAAAAATCATCACAAAATGATCACAATTAAAAAAAAATAGGTTTTTAAAAGTTTTGAAACAAAAATAACATTTGGTTATGTTAAAACTCTATTTTTTGCCAACATTATTTGATTCAATCATAATATTCAATCATAATATTATGTCAAGTGAAAAATAGTTTTTTCTCCTTTTCTGGAAAACTTAATTTTTGTACTGTATCATTTGAAGTAAAGGAAAGATATAATGCAATGTGCAAAATACATTTTTGTAATATATTTATTAAATTTCGTAATAACGAACGCAGTTGATGAAGTTGACTAATAAGAACGAATGAAAATTAATCCTTACCGTACAAGGTCGAGTCATTAGTGACCGAGCAATTTCTGTTCGTGTAAGTTTCTTTGAGTCTTCCGGTAATTATAAATTATACAATAATAATAAAGACATATGAAAGTAAAACGCGGTAATTAGAGCGTATTCAATATATATATATATGCATATTATTCTTTACTAAATATAAAATTCGTTCTCTTCAATTACCGCGTTTCACTCTCATATTATTACTGTCTAATTTTGAGTCACAGGAATATAATTTATTATAAATTATACTACATTTTATTATTTTCCAAAATGAAGTCTCAATATTTATTCTAGAAAGTTGAATGTATGTTGATGAATTTTTAGAGATTTTTTTGAATTTTCTCTGAATAGGTGAAAAAAATGAATGGATTCTAGTAATCCATGTTTAGACAGATGAAGCACCAAATTGTACCTTTTATTATAAGGGTTAAGATAATGTTTTATTTCACAATGTGATGTACATATTTGTGATACCTAATTTCTCTATACTTAGCATTGTCTCGCATTTATAGATATACTCGATTTTTAAAGACGCGAATATTCTCAAATATATAAGTGTTATGTTTAATCGATTTATTGTGTTTATTTATCCGTTATATAACAAACATAAAACATTTGTGCCAACATCGAGTACTATTTATATTTGTATAACTATTATAAATCACATTTTTTACGTTTGAGTTTCTTTTCGATTAACAAGCATTTCATAATACATTTATTGAACAATAATTCTTTAAATTCTTCTCTTAATATCAATTGCGCCTATTAAGATCGCACATTATTTAATTGTAATATGATCATAAATGTTATCATAAATGTAATGATGAGATTATAAATAAAAAAAACAATATGCAAAAAAAAAAGAATTGCTTAAGAAGACAAGCATCTTTTCCTCTGTTTAAAAAGGGAAAAGAAAATTTTTATTATATTTCAAAATTTTGATAAACTCTGAAAAATACGCAGCTAAAAGATTTACATTTTGGATATCTTTCGTAAGTGAATGATCTGAAAAAAAATATGCGCACGGAATGCCCGGAAGAAAAATCGAAGCGCACGAGCGGCGAAGATAGCTCCGTTATAACGCACATAGCATAGCACCTTCACTCCGTATAGTCGTAACAGATAGTATAGTCGAGAGGCAGTCTTTGGTATACTACGTTGTGCTGCTGACCCAAATGAATCCTGGCCGCCAGTCAGTCCCGCTCCGGGCTTCTTCGCGGCAATATTAGTCCGCTCGGACGCATTCTCGATCGTGTTTAAATATTAAATGCCGTTGCATTAATTGTCAATTTTTGTTTAATACACACAGATCAAAACACACGAGTGTCAAAATTCTTTTTTGCAAATATCGTGACTTCTCATCTCATACCTTTCATCATCATATCTAGCTATAAAGTGATTATTTCTAAAAAAAAAAAAAACAAAACCAACAACAGTGTTAATTGTTAATAATTTAATTTAATTTAATCGATAAATTAGATTTAAACATTTTAGTTTTTTTTTCAAATTTAATCGTTCGTGCACTGAATATTGATGTACCATTTCGTACCCAGTGCGGTTCAGCCGATTGATCGGTTGATCCAGAAATCGACGAAAACAAATTTCTCGTGACTGGTGTAAAACGTGCGTGTTAAAACGGTGCCCCTTCATCCACGAGTGAAGGTACTCCGGGTTTACGAATACAGCTGCCACTCGTCAAAGTTAAAAGCACGGAAACACGCGAGTTGATCTGAAAATATACATCGTGAATAGTGGATCAAGAAGAAGAAGTGGCATTTTCGTGCACGATGTAAAAGAGCTGATGCCAAAACGAAGAAATCGTTGGATATCACCGGGAGGATCCAGACATCTGTCTGGAGCACGCGCATTCTGCAGGCTCATCCTAGCGATGCGACATTCCACGCTGGTTCCGCGTAATCATTGACAATTGGCAGTAAGCAAATTCAAAACAAATAGTAGACAGCGAATAGTAATAGAGAAAGTATGAAAGTCTGACCCACTAAAAAAATTGCCTTATAATCCATGCATTCCAGCTATACAAATACAAATCACGCAGAATTCTCACATTTACGTATTATTTTTACATATTGACATCTCGTTGTGTGAATAATTTGTATTTGTATTTTTTATTAAATTAGAGATTGTTTAGCAATCAACAACCTGCGAAGCTCGACAGTCCGTTTTAATTTGAATACAAATTATGTAAATTATACCATTATTCGACATTCTAATGTTTATACTTTTTTTGTCAAATTACACTTCCAGTGCCACACGATAACGAAGAAAAGAGATCGTTCGAATATAATTTAATTTGTTTAGTTTTATTTATAATTTTTAACTATTTAACTTGGGCCTGGCGGAACGTCAAGGACGTGTCTTCCTCGCGTCCTTGCGTCGGCTTATGGACGGTGCATTAATTCGCTCAATGAGCGTAACAATGTAAATGCAGTCCTCAATCAGATAGACCGCCCAAGATCGCTGCTACGCTGAAGTACCGCAATTTCACGGTAATATCCGCTCCACCTTCGCGAAATATTATATCTGCGATTGTTACACGGTACGGATTTTGAATATGTAGCGCGTGCATTTCTATACACGGCAGATGCGCAATTTTGTAAACACGTAATTCGGAATTTGCATCGGTATCCAACCTGCGTAACGTGGACTTGTTTCCTTGCACAACGCGCGTACGCAGCTTCGCATAATTTGCGTCTTACGAGTTAAACAGGAGTTCGTTAAACATCGAATCTCTAATCAGCCGCGTCATTAGCAGCGTCAATAGCGAACGCGTAATCGCAAACGGAACGAAGAATAACTGAATGCGGGAGAATAATAATAGAGTACATTTGCATTCTTCGTGCCTGTTCTTCGTATTGTAAATCGACTCATAACGCTATATCGAGCATCGGCAATGGAACTCTTCACAATCCGCATAAAACCCGTTCCTCTTTGGCCTCGAAACCGCGGATAACTTGACCGGGTTGGGTTTAGGAATTTGGCACGTGCCGAATGTAGTAGAAATATTTCTTCCACGCAAACGGTTGATAAAGAAATAAGAAGGAAATAGAGAAATATAAAAAAGCAGTATCAAGAAACTTTATCTAAAAATAAAACATTTTTAAATTCATTAAAGAAAAAAGAAGAAATTATTGAAATCTATGATAATCGATATATTTTTATACTATTTTCAAATTTATAAGTTTATTTTACAAGCTTATTTATAAATTAATTTATAAGTTTATTTATAAATAATATAAAAATATTATCGATTGCCATAGACTTAAATACTTCCTTCTTTCTTTAATAAATTTAAAAATATTTTATCTTTAGATAAGGTTTGTGATGCTGTTTTTTTTTAAGTATTCGTATACATATTCGTTGCAAATAATTTTAATCTCAAAAAATATATTTTGCGCGCAGTGTTTAAAACAAATTTTTCATGTGTTTAAAACAAATTTTTGATCTTATTCTAGTGAATGTACACATCTAATCATGGTGAGCGAGACAGATCGACGGTGTTGGTTACTTTCTCAAAGCACGATCGTATTCGTAACCTACTTTGAACGCAGCGATGCAGTAACCGGGCGCAAACAGACATTCGTGCCAAGATTGGAATTAGAAAGATTTGAATCATCTCAGTTATATACAAAATTCTGCATTTTTCTTTGCGTTACTTTTGTTCTATAAATTGTTTAAGGAATTGACAAAATTCATTTTGTAAAATTAATTTTTTAATTTTCCATTTTAAGAATTAATCTGAGAACATATTATCTGAAATAAATAGAAAAACATTTTTAATAGAGAGACTGAATCTTTATTAAAATATCAAAACAGCCGTTAAAGAATTTAAACAGCATTTTATATTGTGCGAAGTACCTATATAAAAAATATTATTCTTGAAAAAATTCTTAGTAGAAAACTTTTGAATTACTCAAGCTCTCATCTAGAAAGTCAAAACAAATACAAAGATACCTACGAAAACTCGTTTCCTTGCATTAAGTCAAATTTCTAATCTCTAGTGAAATAAAATTTTCCAAAAAGATTTATCTCTTCTGGTATGCTTGTTTTTCTTGCTTACTCAAAGGGTAGTCTCGACATTTCACGACAACCGTGAAACATAATCCCAAGGTAGAGGTCGTCAGGCATCCGCCAGCATTCTTTTAGAATCAGTTCTTAAGAATGAGTGAGTAAGTGAGTGAATAAGTAAGAGACAGAGA